CCGCCCATCAGCACTCTCAGTCCAACCCTATCCTCGGTAAGCCTTTCCAGTTCTTTTATTTATGATTCATCATTTTCATATCTGATTCTATTTCCTCATGTAATGTGTTCTTCGAACTTCCTGTGCTCCGTTTACATTCAAGATTACAAGTAAGAGATTGCCTATTGATGTAGTTTGATGATTTCCTCAATGTACGTTCTATTCACTTCCAACATCTTTTCCTAATTTCTTTTTCAACTGAACGTTTCTTTGTTCTCTCTCTCTCTCACACACACAGAGTACACTGTTACTGATGGTATCCGACCAATGGATATTGAGTATCATGCGTAGTAGTTCTCCACGTTTCAGCTCCTGCACAGTAAGACTGTGTTAACGTTCGTATTGAAGATTCTGACTTTGACATTGATTGACAGTTGTTTTGAGTTCCATAGTGATCTAAAAACAAAACGCTTTTGTTCAGCGTTTGAAGGTCGTGAATTCGATACCTAATCAATTTATAGATCTATAATCCTAAATAGTTCGATAATAGGATTAAGTAGATGTCATATACTTCATAGTTTTTGACGATTGAAAATAGTTAGTTGATAATTAATCTTCAAAGAAGATGTTTTTGATTAATATTTAGCTGAATTTCCAGATTTCGACTGAGCAGGTGATTGGCATACATTTGTTATACAAGCGTTATCATCATAAAAACCAATCAACGTCGAGATGTACAGAACAAGCTGTGAAACGCATATGGAGAAATTCGAACACTTCATTTCTATCTGAAGTTTGTGCTGATGTTGTCGTTCTGAAGAACGATGAAAAGCTCCACGACCAAACCATCCAGCTCAGAGAACAAAACTCCACCAAAAGTTATCATCATCTTCCTCGTCGTACATTTGTCAGTACAAGAAACCTATTAATGATCTTATCATGTTATGAAAACCATCCATGAAGTTGTTAAGTATATTTCTGAGAAATGTTGGTAGATTTAGACTTTCCGGCTTGAGGTTATTTCAATTGTAGAATGATTTCAGGGCTTTTATCCTTTCCTCCTATTTATTTCTTTTGAAATACAGTTCTCATGTTCAAATTTTCATTAAATTTCTTACTATTTCCATTCATCTATTTATCATAGTGCTAATGTGAACTTGAGAGATGTTAGTTGACACAAACTGGTACTAAATTCTAATTTGACTAAGATTGACGGAGATCGTATGATGAATCTTATACTTTTAGACCACTTCATCGAAGTTGAATAGTTCATATTCCTGGTTCCTGTATGTGTTGCCCTGACCTATTTGAAAACAAAAGAGAGGATATATTAAGTATAAAATCATTTCTAATACCCTATACATTATAATCAAATCAATTCTTTATATGAAGAGGTTCATTTTCTCAAGCATCTAAGGGTATAGTAAGAGAATCTGAGAATCTGTGGGCAACTGTTTTTTATACATTTTCCAAGAGATCTGGAAAGTCATTTAGACACGATCTTGGTGTGTGTGTGTGTGTATAGTTTTCTCAACTGTACTTCAGTATGGTTAAATAAGCTTTGATAAACATTTGTATTCAACTTATTGAAGGTTTGTTTTAGAAAAACCATTCCGTTCTAAATTCTTCAGCTGTTATCGAACAACAGAGAGCCGTAGTCTTAAGATCAGAACAATTCCTAGATTATTATGAGTTTTGATTAAGCACTAGGATATTTCTTCAATATTGCTGTCATTACCATTTTCGTATCCAGTTTCGATGGGTATCACGTAGTACCAATTATAGGTGGTTACCATAACTTGGACTAGCTTATCAGAACATCAGTATAGCTCTAAAGTACAGAATACATGATCATAATGATAAGTCTTCTAATTGAACGCTAGATTCGGTTCCTAAGCTCGTGCTACTAACCGCAAAAGCTAAACCTACGCAACGAAATTTGAAACAAACGCTTCACTCGTTTATGTACAGAAGATCTGGGGTATTTATAGTATTTTAGATGGCTTTGAACTTCCGAAAATTTATGGAAGGCTACTAAACATAGTAGAAGTATAGATAATCATCCAATCAGATACGCGACATGTGACTTTTCTCCTTTTAGATGTTTCTGGCAAACTTTCTACTGAATGCTGATTGGATAATATGTTTCTTGGAGTTTTCAAAGCATTTTATGCCTTTCTCCGAGGGATTTTTTGGATCACCTCAGTACGTACTTGACAACTTATCATATTTCATTCTAATATAGTTTTTAATATCTTTGAAACATTTTTATGTGCTAATATAATGATATCAACACGAACGTCAAGACAATCCTACTGTGCAGGAGCTGAAACGTGGAGAACTACTACGCATGATACTCAATATCCATTGGTCGGATACCATCAGTAACAGTGTACTCTGTGTGTGTGAGAGAGAGAGAGAACAAAGAAACGTTCAGTTGAAAAAGAAATTAGGAAAAGATGTTGGAAGTGAATAGAACGTACATTGAGGAAATCATCAAACTACATCAATAGGCAATCTCTTACTTGTAATCTTGAATGTAAACGGAACACAGGAAGTTCGAAGAACACATTACATGAGGAAATAGAATCAGATAGGAAAATGATGAATAACAACTGGAAAGAACTGGAAACGATTGTCCAGGACAAATTTGGATGAAGAATGTTAGTTAGAAGCCTATACACCTCCACGAGGTGTGATAACATCCGTACATAAGTAACTAAATCAGTAAGTGAGTAGTTTATCATCTAATACTTTACACGTATGAAGTTAAATCAATCTTAATAGTTCCTAGTATTCACTGGTTGTTCTACTGTATGTTCTAATGTATGGAGCTGAAACTTGGAGAACTACAAAAACCACAATCAAGAAAGTACAAGTATTTATAAATAGCTGTCTACACAAGATACTCAACATCCATTGGCCGGATACCATCAGCAATAGCATTTTGTGGGAGAGAACAAACCAACTTCCAGCTGAAGAAGAAATTAGGAAAAGGCGATGGAAATGGATAGGACATACATTACGCAAATCGTCAAACTGCATCACGAGGCAACCCCTAACTTGGAATCCTGAAAGGAAGCGAAAAAGAGGAAGGCGAGAGAACACATTACGTCGTGAAATGGAATCAGATATGAACAGGATGAATAACAACTGGACGGAACTAGAAAGGATTGCCCAGGACAGGATTGGATGGAGAATGCTGGTGAGCGGCCTATGCTCCTTCACGAGGAATAACAGGCGTAAGTAAGTAAGTAAGTAAGTACTGGTTGTCTAATTCTGAGTTAGTTGAATAGCTAAATAAATTTAGACTAATAATTATTATTATCAATTCGTGACGAAGCACAATGTTAATTATCTTTTCCTCTCACTCTCTCTCTCTCTCTCTTATTTACAAAATAGAGAAAAACGAAAGAGAAATACAATTCCTGACTAATCATTAATTATAAAATAATGTCGTACATTTTAGGGCATTCTATTATGGTATATATAAATATGAGTAGTATGTACAGACCAATACGCATCCATAAATAGACGAAAGTATATTGGTTCACTTACATGTTTATACATGTGTGTATCTGAATGTATATACTTGTGTATATGTATATGTATGTGTATGTGTATATGTATGTGTATGTGTATGTGTATGTGTATATGTTGTTTATGAGCATATATATATATAAGTGTATGATTGTTGTCATGGATGCATAAATCCACAATTCATTCTTTATATATATTTCCCTTTTATTTTTATACTCTTCACTTTCATACCCTATAGACACATGCTTTTACTCATTATAATATACTACCAATAATGATTATCATTTTATGCAATATGTATGTATGTACATATATATAGATATATAGAACATTTATCATTTAACTACTACTAACTACTAACTACTAACTGTATAGAATGGGTGGATAAATGTTGAATTGAGTATTTGAAATCTAGGGAAAAATAAAAATAATTGGTCAATTTTTAAATAATAATAATAATAATCATAGTGACAATTATCACACTGATGGTAACAATAATAATAATAATAATAATAAGGGTAATAAGGATAATCATAAAACTGTATGAAATTCATACTTAGTATCATCATCAACCAACACTATCACCATCATCATCATCATCATCATCATCATCATCGTCACTGTCACCATCAACAGAATTGAATAAAGACAACAACAACAATACGGACAAAAAAGAATCCCACAAGGAATATTCATTCATCGTATTTCTTCATTGATTCATATCTATAATAATGATGAATAGTTAATAACAATGTTGTTGGATTTATATCACTGTATATAAAAAAAGAAACCGGAGAGAGAGAGAGAGAGGGGAAACATTTTAAAAATTAAACACTATGGAATTTATTTTATCATGTGGATATTGAACCAAAGATTACGTAATCATCATCATCATCATCATCATCATCGTCACCCTAAAAAGAATGACACATAAACTAGCGACATATTTAAAAGAAAAGAAAATTAATTCTTTTTCTTTTTCTCGTTCTTCTTCTTCTTCTTCTTCATCATCTTTTTGTTTATATTCAAGTTATTGTTCTAGAATATTCTACTTCTATGACGTTCTTTGAATGATTAAAATATGATTAATCATATTCGTATTAGTATTGATATCAGTTTGAATGATCCATCATATACAATTCAGAGAATCTAATGGATTATATTTAATTAGTTTTGTAATTATCTTATCTTATCATAGCAACTACAATATAACTATTCATTGGTCTATTCAATGAAAGTGTATTCTATGGAATAAATTCAACAGGATTAATATGGAAATTGAACTATGGAATTATTATTATTATTACTACTACTACTACTACCCCTACTACTACCCCTATTATTACTACTACTACTACTGCTAGCGCTGCTATGATGATGATGATAATGATGATAAAGATGATGGTCATGTATAATAGAGGAAATATGATCTTTAATTTCAATTTATTATTTTAATAATAATCATTATCATCATAATAATAATGAGTGGATCTAGACGAGGTCTTGTAGCACCACAGAATACATTTTTGGATAAAATAATCCGAAGATGTAATGGCCAATGTAAGTTTTATATTATATATGTAGAGTTTGTAATTTGCATAATGTGTATTATTATTATCATTATTATTCGAAGTAAAAATGGATAGTGGATAGCAGTGGAATCCAAGACGCGCGTTTCGTCCTAGTTAGGACTCATCAGCTTGATATACCTGTATATCAGAATTAATATTCACTCTGGGACTCAAACCCAGTACCATTCACTTCAAACACTATCGTATTATCTATTTTGCTTAGACTACTTGTAAATTAAGGCAATAGCAAGACAATTCTCACAATATACACATATGTCAATAAAAGACTGATCAATTGTAGCCCTAAACATAAATGAAAATATCCAAGTAAACAATATCAAGTGAATTTAAACTTCAAGTCATTGCATAAGCAAGTAGCTATCAGGAATCAGTAGCTTAATGGATAACACGATGACATTTCAAGGGAATGGTACTGAGTTCGAGCCTTAGAGTCAATATTAACTCTGAAGTACAGGTAAATTCAACTGAAAAGTCCCAAATAGAACGAAACGTATATTCTGAATTACACTACTAGCCACGTTCCATTTTTGCTTATACTGCTTTTGAATTAAGGTAATATTTAAAAAGGTACTACAACATCATATGCATATTGTGATAATTTGTCTTAGACCTTCTGATCCTATTGAAATAATTATAGATTAAAGCATTCTTTAGAAATCAAATCGAAGTTAAAAGTATACCATTAGTAACTAACCAAATAATCTTATTGTTTAAACGCTTATCATGCGACATGTAGGTTCAAGATTCTATCCCTAATATCATTATGGGTACATATTGCTAGGGAAACCTGTACTAGGATGAAACAACTGTCCAGTGTATTGTTTGTATTACAATGGTAACTCAACTGAACCCAGTCGGTAACGAAAAAAAACCTACAAAAATCTCTTCATTAATTTCCAATAATTAATATGTTAAGTTTAATCAGTAGAATGTAGTGTGATATTGAATCATGCAATCAATAGAAATGATAATAATTCATATGATTTTATATTCAACAAAGGAACTGTACATACGTTTAGCTTCTTTTGTTACCCTAACCAGTTTTATATGAATCTAAATCAATAGCCATTCTTATTCTATAGGGTTCTAATACTGCCTAATGCACAAATCTACTTTCTAATATAAACTCAATGGCGAGACTATAATTTATGGACGACCTTTGAACGACTCTAGACTGACCTTGAGGGTGTATACCTAATAACTAGGATCAAATGATGGTTATAAACCAGTGTGAGGAATTGGAATGATGATTTACAGTTGATCGTTAAAGTTAGAAATTAGATTCAGGGTTTTCATCACTAAACAGACATCATCTATAATGCCAAGACTGTATTTACCAAAATGGATGAGTGAATTTCACGCCTAAAATCTGAGACCTGTTATCTTGTACCTGATTTGTTCGTCCATAAATTATAGTCTCACCAACTCAGCTAACATTTTCTTCTCACATATAACAAAGTGTGGACATATAGTGTTCTAACTGTAGTTTGTGCTGATGACGTCGTTCAGAAGAACGATAAAAGTCCTACGACCAAACCATTTAGCTCATTGAACAAAACTTCATCAAAAAGTGTCCAGTATTCTATGACATTGAATGCTATACAGACAAGATTTAGTTAAGGTTTCTTTCGTTCAATTCTCATCGAGGTTGTATTGTTTGATTGATTACTAGTTTGTTATCAAATTTAACTTCTCAATGAATAATTTCAAGAATAGATCTTGCTGAATAATTCTTCATCGATCTTTCATAGAAACATTCAAATTCATTGATCCATTAGATTAATATCTGATGATTAGAAGCTTGAATTTAACTAATTTCCTCTTCTTACTTACTTACATCTGTTACCACACCTTGTGAAGGAGCATAGGTCGCCCATCAGCACTCTCCATTTAACCCTGTCCCGGGCAATCCTTTCCAGTTCTTTCCAGTTGTTATTCATCCTTTTCATATCCGTTAACCAGAAATAATAATTCAAAATTATCTCTTCAGTTTACACTAATTATTATTTACATATATCTCTTACTCATTCGCATAACCATAAATATTCACTATACTTGGCAAATTGTTTCATTACACACACACACACACACATACACACACATTATAATGTTACCCTGTAATAGGAATTGATCAAAAGGTACTTATTTGAGGGGGGTGTACTATATTGTTCTTAAGAAGGTATACATCATCTCATTGAAAAAAGACGTGATTTGTTTGTTAATCTAGTGATCAAGGCAAGAATATGATATCATACTATATAGAGATAATAGAATTTAGCACTAAAAAACAACAGGCATCCGAGGTTAACAATTTCATGTTGAATGTAAAAGTAGGAATGATTGATTTACTGATAGTTATCAGGAGAATTTAGTGCTGTCTCAGTTTGTGAAGCGTAATGACTCTAAAACCCATAAAAATATGATTAATGAATGATAATATTTATCAGCTGGATGTATTTCCATCCCAGCACTCTTAAATCAGTAGTGGTAAATTATATAATGTGTGTAGTCCGAATGTTGTCTTTGAAGCATTACTCATTCCTATAACCATAGATATATGTGAGGGCTGAGATACTTCCAGGGTGCCCAAACCGAAGCAGGTGGTTTTCTTAGGGGCCACCTAAAGATCTAATCCACAAGACAATGGAGTAACGCAAGGAGATGCAATTCCACGGTAACTGATTGGCTTATACGCCGTTTGTTCCCTCAGAATCCTGGAGCCTATATGGATTATTGGTTTGAAATCAGGGTTTTTCAACTTCCCCACCAACCCGGTTAAAGCGCCAGACATTCGCTTTTCGTCCTCTTAGTTTTTTAAGAAACACCTCCGCCACGAGAAGTCAGTAAGTAGGACATAATGAAGTATGTATTTTTCTCCTTGGAAAAGCAGTGACACGAAATCAGTAGATTCTTGTCTGCATTACATTTCCATTATTTAATCCACTGCATTTTTTCGAATTATTCGGTAACTGTTGTATAAATACATGGAATTTACCTAGATTTGATTCTCAGTATTGTTTTCGATTGTATTCGATCATAGGTGTTTTCGAAGCATTGCTCGTATACTCTGGGACCACCGAGTAATTAATGCAGTTGTTAGGAAACGGGTACTAGGTAAGGATAGCAAACCAATTGATGAAGTGTTGAAACTTCATCAGTTGAGATGACTGGGACATGTGTTACGTATGCTCAACCACCGACTGCCCCAACGAGTGGTGTTTTATCATGTAGTAGTAGGCTGGAAGAAAACCAAGGGCGATGAGACCAAAACATGGCACAAATCCATGAAGTCACTGACAAGTGGACTGAGCCACGTTGGTAGGTGTAGACTACCTGGTTGGGATCCGCGAGATGATAGCAACTGAGGGTTGGAGACCGTGAATGACATGGCTCAAAATCGCTTGCAATGGCGCAGGTGCATCACCTCTTTGTGTTTTCCCAAATTCTAATCTTCTGGATTCCTCATGTCCCTTATTTTCTTTCCAAATTTATTTCACCGTTTTACTCCTTGAATAACATCTTCAAACCCTAATGTTTCCGATTACTGCTTATACTCTTATTACCTCTACCACTACGGGATTTGAATCAACCACTGTATCTGTGTGCTAATGTGGTATGGTAACTTGAACTGATGTATGTACTTACGAAGTCCTACGTTGTTGCTAACTGACTGACTGACTGATTGTTTAGATTGTGTGCTGCTGATTAATCTTGAAATACAATGACTAATTATTAAAAAATCAGTACGTGTTCTTTTATAAATAAAAGCCAATCAATTATCCATACTATCCATATTATCTCATATTTTCCCACCAATTTTAGTGTATACTACTTATATCTGTCGATATAAGTAGGTAGTATAAGATTAGGAAGATCAAGTTGAAGAGAACTGGAACAGAGAATAATTGTAATAGGAATGAAGAAACGATGAAGTTTAAGACAAGTGATGGAGTATGTAATGTATGGTTTAAACATTTTATCATCAACAACAAAAACTCTCTGTAACTTTGTATGAAACAATATTTCATGTTTCTCTAACTTAGTTCTCGTTCAATACACTATGATCCATGTTTTCATGGTATAAAATTTCATTACAGCACTGATGTTCATATGAAGTAGTTTACTTTCAAATGCAGTTTTATTTACTATCCGAATTGTTTAATAAACTTGTAAGCGTGTGAAATATGCTTAAAATTTATTCAGTTATGAAACAATACGGTTGACTGGATTCATCTTATAAAATTATTCTCAAAAGGGGGTTTTAAAGAGATTATAATAAATTAATAGTTGAATTCATGAGTCAATTAAAGCTAGATCATCATGGAAAACCTGAGAGCAATAGACGACTGTTTCGTTCTAGTATAAGACTCCTCAGTAGTGCGTATCCACGACCCCGACCTGAGAGATTCCAAACCAGTACCTTCGGACTCGAGCGCGAACTCTTGACCTCTAGATCACTGGACCGACATCCAACGGTGTTAATGTTTAACTTCAACCAATCCACGAAATTGCGCCACTATCCACTATCGTCTTCAGTGAGTTAATTCCTCACAACAGACCGGATTAAACTCCACTAATCACAGTTTCTTACTAGAATTTCGGGAAGTACATCTTGAAGACAGTTACTAGTGAGCATGTGATCATTATTATCATAAGGTGGTTTTGTAGGGATTATAGTAATTTAATAGTTGAATTCATGAGTCAATCAAAGCTAGATCATCATAGAAAACCTGGAAGTACTAGATAGCGATTTCGTTATAGCATAGGACTCCTCAGCAGCGCTGATCCATGGCCGTTCAGGACTCCCAGGTTTACCATGATGATCTAGCTTTGATAGACTTATGAATTTAACTATTAAATTATATAATTATGTTTTATTATCATTGAATAGTTAATACTTTGTTCACCTTCTTACAATCATAATTACAGTTGAACATGTTAACTTATTATTTTCATCGTTCTTCGCTA